CCCCAAAACCCCAAAACCCCAAAACCCCAAAACCCCAAACTGCTAATCTTGGTAGTATAAATATTCTATCTTGAGGAGATAAATAAAAATAAAATGCCGAATTGTGGAAAATACAAGATCAAGAAGAAATTAGGTGGAGGCGCTTTTGGACAGTACGTAACCATTCCTAATCCCAACTAAAATTGGACTAATGGGATGATATCTAAGTTTATACTTCGATTAGACTGTTTAGAACAATTTTAAAATTAATTTTGAATGGGGATAAGCAAAAGAACTTCTGTCATCGTATATATAGAGTATTTCTGTCAAAGAATGAGGAGACCTCCAAACATGTTGCCATAAAAATAATTAAACCAGAAGTATTGGAGAAGGGAACTATTGATATGATAGCTAAGGAAGTCAATATTTTAATGGAACTAGACCATCCCAACATCACCCGACTATTAGAAGCAGGTTTTATGGACTTATCTTCTCGTGGAAAATCCAATGAAGTCTATTGAATTGCACTTGAACTTGCTAGAGGAGGCGAACTCTTTGATTTTATCTCAATTTCTGGAGCTTTTGATGAAGATATCTGAAGATACTACTTCCTCCAATTATTAGATGGAATTGAACACCTCCATAACAAAGGAATTAGTCATAGAGATTTGAAAACTGAAAATATCCTTTTAGACAAGCATTATAAACTTAAAATTGCCGATTTTGGATTCAGCACTACGAAATCTACTAATAGTACAAGGGTTGGTACAAGTGGATACATGCCACCAGAATTTTATTACAAGAAGACCTACAGTGCCCAAGCTGCTGATATATATGGGATTGGTTTGATTCTGTTCATCATGCGTTCTCAGTGTAGACCTTACTTAAACGCAAAGGTGGATGACGCTCAGTACAAATATATTCATAGGAACACACCGGATGCATTTTGGAAGTATTATACAAAAAGGAAGGGAAAAGACTATTTCTCAGAAGAATTTAAAAGCCTTTTGAATAGTCTCTTATGCTTCAATCCTTGCCACCGACTCTCTATCTCAGAGATCAGAGAGCATCCTTGGACTATGGGGCCAGTTGCAACTAGTGAAGAAGTTAAAGAAGAGTTTAGTAGAAGGAAAATGGAATTAGATGAAGAAATGAAGAAACAGAAAGCAAAAGACCCAAAAGCCACAACTTTTGACATGTCCCTTATAGAAGGAAGAAGTGTGCATAGAGGTGTTAGAGACGAAGATGATGAAGAAAACTTAGAGGTTTATATGAGAGAAGAGCAAGAATATGAGGATGAGATGGAGAATTATCACTCTTTCTTCTCAACTTCCAATTTAGAAGATCTTTGGGGAGTTTTGTGAGAATATGTAATAACTGAGTCTGGAGGCAAAGCTACCTTTTCAAGCAACGAATATAGCGTGTCTACTGAGATTGTTGATACAGATGAAGAAGAAAAAGAAAGACTTAGTACAGATGAACCTTCACTAAATGCTGGAGAATATATGGTGCACATCCTGAAAGTACCAGATCAGGAAAAGCATTATGTCGAAGGCATATTACTTGAAGGAGATAAGTTCAAATTTACAGAAAATTTCAACCAACTCAAGCAGTACTTTGGTGGTCACATTAACGCCACTCTGGCAGATTAGAATCAAGAGTATATTGTGATAAAAATTTCCTTAAAATTATGTTTTTGTAGGTGAAAACTCATCAAAAATAGCCTAGAGTACAAAATGTCTCAACCGTAGTGACTAATTCAATTGATCCTTATCCCCCAGGGGTTTTGGGGTTTTGGGGTTTTGGGGTTTTGGGG